CCGCTTTTGACTGTCTAGCATATTAACATCTGCAGAGTTCTGCAAAAATAAATACATTTTTAATATTTATGACTTAAAATGCTCAACTCCTCTTACCCACACTAACAGTTGGACTATTACTACACGTCCAAGATTACATGCAACATGTAAAGCTGATCCTCCATTGTGCTCTGGGTGAGCCTCGTTAACGTTAGATGGACTGGCATGAGCTAAGAGTCTTAGGCATTCAATAGGATCATCATTCTTAACAGAGACCAATATACGCTAGAGGGAGAAAATATTTATCATCAAAAAAGAGAAAGAGAGAAGGAGTGCTTACTGCTGAAAGAGAAAGTGAGCTTGGAGGCAATTCTGCAATGAATTCCTTCTCGAGGTACTTCGCTTTTATGAATCTCTCCCTTTCCTCACTAAAATACAAAAAATTAAGTACGAATTGTACATGTACATGTACATAAATGCATTCAAATACTAGTTTTAATAGAAAGAATAATTTTGCTGTACACTTACACAGAGGATGAAGTGCTTGGCTTATTCCGTGGAAGTCGTGCTTCAAATATTGTCCACGAGACTTCATTACCAATTGCTGTCATAACGGATACCACCTCAGGCCTGGAAAAAGGAAAAAATAATAAATGGGTATGTATGTACATGTACAGTACCACCACCAAATAGTATGCATTATGTATTATTCCTTACTTCCATTCGTCCAAGTGAAGTGCTCTTATTTTCGATATGTGCGACCCTAGCTTTCTATGCATGCCAGAGCAAGCTATACAGACTAGACACCCGTGATTCAACGAGGCCCATTCCGGATCTAAGTAGGAAAATCAGGTATGAGTCTGTGAACTATGAATATCATTATTGCTATTACTTGGTGCCCCACAGTCGGCACACAGGTCATTCCCCTGCATTGCAATTATCTTTGCTTTTGCTTCTTCGTTTGAGCTCTAAAAATAATTGAATGATTATAGTTTAATTATACACATGTAGTTCTTAAAAGCTAACATTTCTTTTTGGCAGCAAAGATTCCTCAAGAATCTTCTTTATCTGTCCTTCGATGGCTTTCACCCAGTCAGACATTTCTTCTGGCGTACTAGCATCAAAATACCAGACCTTACCGTCCAGTGAATGAATGTAAAACTCAGTAGTAGGATCTGGATCTGCATTTAAATAAAACAGACAGAGATAAAGAGAAAAATGAGTGTGTTTGAGCAATTGAACAGGATTTTGCTATTTATGAGCGTTTTCAAAATATACCAATTTTGAAAATAAGCAAAGACTATTATAGCCAATGGTTTTTTCAAAAAATGGCATCGAAATCATCACAAATTTTTATTACATTTTCTGATACATACCGTATAAGTGGTTTTTTTCAAGGGAATTATATTTCGCAAAATCTGCTAAAATTCCAATTCGCGGATTTTAATTTCGCAAATTCTACCACATGCGCCATGAGGGTACCGTATTAAATTGATTTTCATGGATTTTATTTTCGTGAATCAGGAGGAAATCCGCGAAATTTGTGAAATTTGCAACCCTTGAAAAAAAACCACTTATACGGTATTGATGTCCTTATGCTATGTAGAAAGTTTGAGCTGATTCCGACAAATAATTTTCGAGTTGTGACCATTTTAAAAAACGAACCAAATTTTGAAAAAAAGCAAAGACTATAACCCATGGTTTTTCCAAAAAATGGCTCTGAAATCACCACAAATTTTTATTACATTTTCTGATACATATTGATGTTTTTATGCTGTGTAGAAAGTTTGGGATGTTTCTGACACATAATTTTTGAGTTGTGACCATTTTTTAAAATGAGCCAAATTTTGAAAAAAAGCAAAGACTATAATAGCCCATGGTTTTTCCAAAAAATGGCTCCAAAATCATTACAAATTTTTATTACATTTTTTGATTAATATTGATGTCCTTATGCTGTGTAGAAAGTTTGAGATGTTTCCGACACATAATTTTCGAGTTGTGATCATTTTTCAAAAATGAGCCAAATGGTTTTTCTATAAAATGGCTCCGAAATCACCACAAATTTTTATTACATTTTCTGATACATATTGATGTCCTTATGCTATGTAGAAAGTTTGAGCTGTTTCTGATAAATAATTTTCGAGTTGTGACTAATTTTAAAAACAAGCCAAATTTTGAAAAAAAGCAAAGACTATAGCCCATGGTTTTTTTCCAAAAAATGGCTCCAAAATCATCACAAATTTTTATTACATTTTCTGATACATATTGATGCCCTTATGCCGTGTAGAAAGTTTGAGCTGTTTCTGACAAATAATTTTCAAGTTGTGACCATTTTTATAAACGAGCCAAATTTTGAAAAAAAGGAAAGACTATAGCCCATGGTTTTTTCCAAAAAATGGCTCCAAAATCACCACAAATTTTTACTACATTTTCTGATACACATTGATGCCCCTATGCTGTGT